TACATGATTAAGGACAGCCTGGCATGTAATCTCTTGATAGCCATTTCCAGTGGCAACAATTAAAAGTGTGGGCCATTAAAATAACACACAGTGGCTATATAATAAAAGCATTATGTTCAGTTAATAACCAGAATAAGTGCATTTTCTGTCTTCAGTGCAATTTCTGTGAAAAGTAACCATCTCAGTCTCTGAGGATGTAAAATAATTTAAGACTTCATTTCTCCCCCTCAACAATATCATATGTCAACTCTGATGCCATTTACTCTCATCAGAGCTTTTTTGTGATTGTTAAGCAAGACCATCCATCTCACATTTATCCCAGCAGCCTTATTAGTCCTTAATTCAGAAAATTTGAAATGTTTAATATCCCAAGATGGATCGTAATGTAGCTTTGTCAGATTCAATTTCACTGATCATATTTAACCTTCATCCTGCAACTCGCTCACAGGTTTGAAGACTGCAGTGCCATTATCAAATGTGTAACCCATTTTCAGAGGCCTCTAATAATTTTTCTGCTTTTGCAAACTGAATAGAAATTTCTCATTTGTCAAGATCATGATGAGTAGTTTTGAGAAGCACCCTGAAGAACCCTGTTGTCCTCTAGCATTAGAGAGGTTTCTACCTTTTTGTTCACATTCACTGTTAAATAGAACAAAGATCAGTTTTATTGAAAGGGGTCGGGGGTAAATGGCAAAAATTACAACAGAAAATGCTATGTTAATTTTCAGTGTTTCAACATATGCTGTGTACACATAATTTTCTGCATGTATGTTTTAGATTCAACCGGTTCTTTTATCTGACGGCCCCAAGAAGTAACACTCAGGAAACAAGAATCAGCTTTATGTAGACTTATTTTCTTCTGGTTAAATGCAGAGTTATTACAATGCTGGGTTCTATGACATGACAAGTCCCAAGAGCTCTGATAAAAGGAAGTAATTCACATTTATCTTCTCGGGCTGGGACTGCCCTGAACATGAGTGAAACTCATATTATCTTTTAATCTGTTGGCTCTACACTCACAACATGAACTGGACACAAGGTTCATACAAGATTCATGCAAATATTCTAGAATGTTCGAATAAGCAGTGTGTGTGTTGTTATTTTCAGGCATTTCTTTCTAACTGAAAGTTGACATGCAGTTAGCATCTTATCTATAGTTTCCAGGATGACACTTATCTCTGCAATCAATTTTTGCACATTTCACCAAGAAGACAAGAAATACTACTAGTTGACTCAAAGCTGAATATTATGACTATGATGCATGCATAAGAGCTTAGGTTAATACTGATACATGGAGCTGTTAATGAAACACAGACAAATAGTCATACTGAACTCTTCCATTATAAAAGCAAAATAATACTGATAAGTAGAACTTTAACTCCTGAAATCCAATCCTAACATATGAATGAAGTATACCTTTAGACTGCTGTTTTGAAATATAAATACATAAATTACATAGTCTTGCTTAGAAGTTTGAGAGCTGGCTGGTGACCAAATTTTTCCAAGTGGTACTTGTATCAGTGCATCAAATTCATCGTTCTACAGCTGCTCCTTTTGCAGTGATTGTCTGTGGGGAAAAATGTTTTGGGGCCAGTGTCACATAATGGAGGCACCATTGTAATTACCCACTATCCAAAATCCCTTCACAACTAAATTCTATTCACAGGAGCTCAATTTAACCTGCTAAAGGTCATTCTTCTTCTGGGGGTTTTGCCTGATACCAAGCAGATTCATTACCACCACCCTCTGGATTGGTGCTCAGTTCACGCTGATTTGCATGTAGCCTGGGGTAAAAAAAAATGGTTGCAATCAGATTTGTGATCTGGCCATCTTATTTGTGACCAAGTGTAAACAAACTATGAAATTGCATCTGATGTTATCTGTACATGAGATTAATACAAATGGGCTCTTACTTTTATAACATAATACCTTAACCACAGCATATTAGCCTTGACCAAAATATTTGCCTAACCATAATTATACATCTTACATGCACATGTAATGTAAAAAGGCAAAAAAAAAAAAAGTTCCATTGAACAGTAGACAAGAATTGTTCAATGTCATGCTCTCTCGGATGGAACACATTCTCATTCCCAGGGCGTCAAATGCTGGTGTCTTGTTATGTAGTGTTTGTGTCTCATATGGGTGCTAAAAGGTGCCTTTGGCATCCATATAAGATGCTCTGGATTTCCATTACACAACTGCATTAGCTTATTTCCATCTGTACATACAAATGATATCGTTAGGGACAAAAAAAAAACATGTTTATGCACAAAAATGATTTGGATAGCTTTCAGAAAATATTGTGGCTTGCGTTTAAACAACTGGTACAAAAAAAAAAAACACACTGATGAAAAAACACTGGACAGGAACTTCACTCTTCAGTGGGAAAGTTTGCCATTTTTTGGACCCACCATTCACCCCAACCACCTCCTTATGTGGCCTTTCTCCCTTTATAAACTAGCATCTTCCTCTGGGCGTCAAAAACTGACAGGAGGTAATACTGTATTGAAAATGGTGTTGCTTTCGTCACCGAAAATTATGACTAAATATTGTCGTCAACGAACCTTTATCGCGTGACGAAAATGCTAGTCGTGTGACGATAACTATAACTAAATGTATAATGCAATATCGTTGACGAAAAAAAACAAGACTAAATGTGGTTCACAAAATAAAAACCATACTAAAATGTCTTCATTTTCGTTGACCAAAACAAGACGAAATGAAATGTTATAACGTTATTTCATCTTGTTTAGTCGCATTATTATTATTATTTCACAGTGTATTTCTGTTTCCTGTGTCTCGCTTCATGGGCTGCATCAGGTCACACTGTGCAGATGCAGGTGACGTCACTTACTTAAGCCTCACTCGCGGCATTATTTAGAAGACGACAACAAACAAAAAAATTAAGAAAGTTAAGTCTGACACAGAGAAAGAGACCGATGGCCAGCCAGCCGGGGTTCGTCACTGGGAGAAAAAGAAGAAACGACATTTAGAAAAACTTTCATTACATAGAAGTGGAAAAGAAAACAATGTGTTGTAGAAAAAGATGGGGAGAAATGTGGCCACAAAATCACACAAAATGTGTATTGGATGTATTCTTGAGTCTTTGGCCACGTTCACACTGCAGGCTGAAGTGACTCAAATCCGATCTTTTTGCCCAAATGTGACCCATATCTGATTTCCTTATGACAGTGTGAACAGCACAAATCAGATTTTTTCAAATCCGGCCCAGGCCACTTTCATATGTGGTCCTAAATCGGATACATATCCGATGTTTTGCAAGGCAACTTCAGTCTGAACGGCCATGTCGCATTTCATGCGATTTTTATATCATTGAAATGCAACAGACGTCACAATTCTGCGCTGGAGGAGGCGAGGCCATAAGCAATATTTGTGCTCTCCTCCTTCTTGATGTTCTTCTTCTTATTATTTCTTTATTTTGATTGCACATTACCCGGTACATCGCTACGCACATGCTATCACGAGCCGCATCCATTTTTATTTTCGCAAACACAGTACGCTGCGTCTGACGTCACATCCTCTTCTGCACATGTGGGTCACCTCAGGGCCGTATACCGTTCACACATGAGACAGATGGCAGTC